AGACCATCTACAGATAATTATAGACCAGGTGAACGACCAAAACAAATTAGACATCCGGATAACTTAAGGCCGGAAGGTGCATTTGATAGACCTTCTCAACAAAATTATGGACCAGGTGAACGACCAAAACAGATAAGACATCCAGATAACCTAAAATCAGAAGGTGATTTTGAAAAACGAGTCGTACAAAAAGTAACTACAAGTGAGCGTACTGTTGCTTATAAGCCTCAAGACAATTTAAGGATGGAAGGAGAATTTGAAAAAAGAGATCGAACTTATACAGTTCGAAAGGTTGAGCAAGCTATAATCAGGAAACATGAAGATAATTTGAAGGTAGAAGGAATAATGCACTTTACCAACAAAAACATACATTCCGATCAGAAGTCGCTTGATTCTGGATATTCTCAGAAAATGACTGAAAATAATCAAACTGTAAGCGACCACAAACGAATAAATCAAGTGGAAAAATCGCATTCCTCTTCAAATACTGAAAACTATTCTTCAATGCACAAAAATCAGCAGAACAATACTAATACTAGAAAGCATATTGAATCTCAAATTTCTTTGGGGGATTTTCCTAAAGACTCAAATACAAAAGAAAAAATTAGTGTCAAATATGGACAGTCACAATTCGAAGGAGAACTTAGACAATCAGCTGAATCACAAAATATTGAAAGTCGTGTTGTAAAACAATCATCTAATTCTACGTTCCAAAAAAGCTCAAAATCTGAAGAACATGTGGAGAGAAAAAAATGGGAGACTTCTCAAAAAAGAGATTATTTAAAAGGATCTGTAACAGATTTAAGCAGTACTAAAAACGCATCATTATCGAAGCAACAACTAAACCAGACCAACGATCAAAGATATTCAGATAATACAACTCGTCAACATTCATCCAATCATTATAACCATATGTCTTCACAAAATGTCAGCAGTTCAAATCAGTGGCATGGACAAACAAGTGAACAACACACTTACTCTTCACGACAGTCTCAAGAATCTAGAGGACAGTTGAATCACGATAGACTACAAAATGAAAACCATGTCGACAGAGTACAAAACACACAACATAGACACGGGCATCTGAATAGTAACGATAATCAAAATTATTCTGCACAGCAAAGAAATCTTCAAAACATTGGTCAGACTAGTCAAAAATATACCAATGAAACTAGTGGTCAAAACTATAGACAGAGCACTATTACTAGTAATTCAAAAAATAGTGAACAAATTCGACGGCCTGAAAGTTTTGTTATAAGTCTGTCTGACGAAAAATCAACAAATAATCGAAATGCGTCATCTATAGAGCAGCGTTCTGAACATTATTCAAATAACCAAACAAGTAAAGTTCTCAAAACCGAAGTAGGAAGACAATCATTTGCTAGCGGAAATACCAACGAGAGAAACTCGACTAGCCGTGATTATTCTTCGGATTTGCGTTCAAGCAAGTCAGCTATATCGAATGAACAGTTGAACAAAAGCCACCGGTATGAGACCAGTAGCCAAAATCGGAATGAATACAATCGGGACCACTCTAAATCACTTTCGTCACAACAAAAATCTGAGCAGTCTACAAATCGTTCGCATGGAAATGAAGTTAAAAGTTATTCCACTGCAACTTATAGGAAGTCTTTGCACAGCACTAGTTCCAACGTGTTGAACATCGACACGTCGACGATCGACAGGAAAACATACAGTGACCAATCTCATCACCGTAAGTCTGTAATAAGTTCGAACACCGATCTGAGCAATTCGGTGTTGCACCGCAAAGGAGATGTGACGCATATCGAAGCGCCCCATACCACTTCTTCAGCAGCAGCGGCCCAAAGGAGGAGCATCAATACGTTGGACTCGACATTCGTGGTATCACCTCCAGACAACCGGAACAGTATTAGCGCTATGCACCGTCAAGATAGGGTGTCGAGGTCATCCACGAACAGGTCACATATCAGTCTCGGCGATTCGTCAATAAGTGAGTCGAGCACTAGTCATTACAGAAACGAATATAAACCGAGGGTGAGCGGCCCATGCCCTGTACCGTTGATCGAAAGAAATCAAGCGCCCTTTAGACACACTCGGGATACGAAAACACACAAATTCTATAAGTCAACTACATCGGACGGAGATCGTAGATAAATCGTCTAGGTAAGCACCAAAATAATGTTTATGCACTTTAATAATAGTAAGTTACTTACCAACTTAGATACTCGATAATAAAACTTATCTTTTCGTATTTTGTTCTTCCTTCCATGCATAAAATATATTTACCCGTGTGGGAAAATTCATAGTTTTTCTATTTCTTAAAATTAACAAGTAATTGAAATATTTTTGTTGAAGAAAATATTCATGTAGGAAAAATGTGTTTATATAATTTTTAAGACAACCATAAAAAAAAAAAATGCTATCTTTATAGTAGCTAAAAATAATTTGTGTACTATCAATGTATTTTAATTTTATAATCATATTGCATGGGTATCGCATAATATGCTTGATTGTCCAAATATATTTTTTATTGATCTTTAATCATAATCTCGTACAACCAATATTTTGAATATTTTCATATAACGAGGATAATGATTGTTAAACATAAATCAATTATTTTATAAAAGTATCATATTAATGTGCAATTTGATTGTTAATAATAAATAAATTAAAAATAATCAATAATAAAACTACTATATATTTTGTTTTAGAAAAGAAATGAAACGGACTCAGGACTAAATACTCGGCGTTTATAATTAAGAATAGCTTGAACTATGGTTTACTAATATATATATTTAATTTTAAAATCAACCCACATAAAAAAATAAAAAAAACATTTTATTTTTATTATATTAAAGGATTGTATATCTTTAAATATTATAAATTATAAACTAATGATGAAATATTTTGTAAAAATCACTAGGTCATTTTTTGTCTAGAGTCATTAGATAAAATTGTGAGGAAAAAATAAATTATAACGGATACTATATTTTAGTAACAGGAGAAACATTAAATATTGTAGTATTTAACAATTATGAATGTACCTATCTAGTGAAAAGATAAACTTATCGTAGTTTACAACTAGAATGAAATGAAAAAAATTATAGATAAAAGTTGTGGATAAATTTACATTTTATAACTTTTTAAGTGTTAATAAAAGTATACACACTTTATCCTGATAAATGTTGAATTAATAAATGTAATACAATTCACATTAGGTATCGTTTGATGTTTCTTCAACATAATAATAATATCACATAAATGTGTCTGTCGATTTCCATTTTCTCACTATTTCTTCGAGACAAAAAATGTGTCCAGTGTTTTTAGCAATTACTTATTAATTTTTATAATTTATAACAACCATTATTATTAAATCTAACATGAAGTTATCTACAAAATACTTGTTGAATTAATTAAGTGCTTTAAATAACCATGTTTATTCAAGACTAATACTTAAATTTAATATATATTTGTATTCTGTGATTTTGTTAATTTATTTTATGTATTGAAAATTGTATTAAATGAACTGTGATATCTACTTATGAATTTTAAAAACTCAACAGATTTCAAAAATGTATTGTATTATTTTTATTACATACCTAACTAAAGTATGTATTAAGGTACTATTTTATTATTCTTTATATTATTTTATGTTATCTTTGTTGTATTAATAAAATTATTTTCAGTTAAAAAATAAATAAACCATACAAAATCTGAAACTAATAAATAAAACTTTTCTTCTATTGTTTTGATGAGGTATAAATAAATGATAATTATTTTTTAATTGTATTTATTATTCAAGTGTTTTGTAACGAAGATGTACAATAAAACATTTACAAATATATTTTTTTACATGCATATAAAAAAACAATTCGAAAAAAATGACGAAATACAAAGTCAAAAACATTATTCGGACAAAAAACGCGTTCTATTTATAATAATTAATAAATAAAAACAAAATCACCGACGCTTTACAATGGTACCACAAATTAATACAGTTTATATTAAATTTTAGACTTGTCTAAAATACAATACACACTCAATATTATTTATATAATGTAGTAAATACGTGTATGTATGTATTTATGTTATAATATAAAACATATATGGATGTGTGTGTTTATGTGTGTGTGTTATAAATATTTAAATAATCTTAATTAACATTCAACAGATTACATACTAATATCAGATGTACAGAGTGATGTAATCATTCGTAATTAGTACAATAAAGGGCTTTCGGCGTCATTCGACATTCAACACGGTAAAAAAATACTTATATTTTTAGCTATAAAAACAAGTTCAAATTTCAACTTGAAAAAACAGTTAAATCGTTGGTTGTAATCCAACTAACGACTAAGGGTTAATAAAATAAAAAAAAAATACATCAAAAGATTGTCTGTTACCGAAATATGCTTAGGTAAAGCACACTACGTCACTAAATCGAACTATTGTTTTCGTCATGAGTAAATATAACATTAATGTCCATAATTTATCTGAATCAGATTTTAAATCATTGACTTAAAACAAAAATATTTTTACCTGCTGACAAGCTTTTGTCTAAAAATTAAAATTTAAGTAAGTGATAAAAAAAAAAATATATTTATAACTCTTAAATACTAGAAATGCGATCTAAAATAATAACATTTAACAACAAATTTTTACAGAAATGAATGTAAACAAACAAAATAAAACATTACTATATAACTTTGTACAATATATTTAAAAAAACTATAATATAACCTAGCTTTAGTTAAAATGCGTTTTTAATGAATATAAAAAAATAAAACTATGTTTTCAACAATTTAACGAGTGTATGTTTTACTAATGCGTTGATATTTGATGTATATAGTAATTTTGAGAGAGGACTCAATTAAGACAAAGTGAATCTATTATCCGTTTCAATCGGCAGTTGTGAAAACTCATTGTCACCCGTAACAAGAATAACCATCATACAGTTTTTATTAGTAAATTGAACATTATTGATCATACATAAAAAATAAAATGTTAGACGAATTTCTTTCTTCGGTTTTAGGAGATTATTTTTTATCTGTTAGCAGTAGTAATGGAGAATTTAAAACATAAATGATAAATCGAATACTTAACATTTTTCAAAGAGAATTTCTAATCATAACAATATTAAATAGGTAGGTAATTATTAAAATTTATAATTATATAGATAGCTAAATCATATAGAATTTGTTTAATGTCTTTGTTCAAGTCTGATGGCGATCATACCTTTTTTTATACTTGTTCTATCGGGACTTGGGAAATTTGTAAAATATTGAACAGAATCAGTTAAAGTAGCTACCTATATGCACTTACAAATGATCAGATGATTAAAGAAAACTATAATCAATTATGAAAAATTTAACTTATGAGTAAACTAATTTTTTTGAAAACTTTATTAAAAATCGCTAGACTAAACAAGATTATATTTTTAAAATGTTTTAAAATAAATATTCATTTACCTACAAACTGTACAAGAAAGGGAAAAACGTTAAATTCACGTATAAGGATTATTTTAAGTAAACATTTGCATTATTTCAAGTTTCATCAATTTATTAACGGATTCACGTTTGTTCACAAAAACAAAAAATATGTATACCCATTCGTATGCTGAACTATGTTATTATTTTGATAAATTTTATCATTTTGTATAACATATTTTCGATTCAGTTAAAAACATTATTAATTTGGTTTTAATATTATAAAATCAAACAAAATTATAAATAAAAAGCCTCTAATAACTTGTATTATAGTAAATAATTATTTATTTATTTATTTCACGAAACAATTGATTACAAAAAAGAAAATATTATTGATCTTAAAAAAAGACGAATAATTGTCGATTGCATTAAATTATGCTTATTTATTTTTTTAAAAAAAATGAACGTATTTAAATCAAAGTTTTATACTTCAAGAAATAAATATGGCTCAGTATGTAATTCGTTCAACAGTTTTATGTACACGGTTAATTGGACATCAGTTCAAAGCAAACGATATTTTTTCCTTATCTACTGTTATGCGTAGTGTCTATTAATATGAACGTTATTATTATAGTAATACGATAACGACGAACGTGGTAGAAGTTCAAATTGTTCATTCTTAACAACAAATTGTATTTTGATAAATTTACATAAAAATAACACGGTATACAAATTATTTAAAATTGATCAAACGATGTTAAAAATTTGGCACAGTCTAATGTATGTATTTACAAAATCACTTTTAAAGATCGTTAAAAAACGTTAAAGCCAAAAAAGATATACGAATTTTTAAAATTTGGCATTTAAATAGAACGCCATAATTATTTGAAATTGTATTAAAATAATCAATTCATAATAAAATATTGATCAACAACTAAATTTTTTTCAGAGATCGTTATATCTAATAAGTTAAAACACACGGGAAGTTATAGGGCAATGGAACACAATTTGGGGAAGACACATAGCTTAATATTCTACTTTGAATTTTTTTGACATGGAAAACATTTTTTTTTTTTTTAATGAGTGGAAGACACAGTCTTGACATCTCAGAAAAAAATATTAATAATTTGCATAATTTTCACATTGTTTAAAATAGTCAAAATATTATTTGAACCGTTATTGAATGGTTTTTAATATTTGGAGATAGATGTCCAATGAAAATAAAACCGTATAGTATGTGTGGTAATATAATTATTATTTATTAATAACCGCTAATTATTGAGAACACATCTATATTGCGATTAATTTATAATGACTTAAAGCCGAATGATATCAAAATTCAGGTTAAAATTGTACAGTCAATAGGATTTTTATGTACAAGTAGGTAATATCAAAACAAATCAAATTATAAGTACTCAATATGAGCAGTCAGGTTGAGTTCACCGTAAAAGATATTCTAATGAACACCGTGTTATTACTCATATTATATTAATATATTATATTTCGTAGTTAAAATATTGATTTCATGTAGATCTTTCTTAACTGTGTCCTAGTAAATTATATTGCCTGATTGTCTATAAGCTTAAGATTGTGTTTAAGTTAATTACATTTTTTATAGTGACATCATTTTATTATGATTTAAAAAAATCAAAACATTTATTGAAAATTCTTTATATAATAATATAATATAAATATATGTGTATATATTGCTCTTTGCTCGAAACATTTATGACAATATAATATTATACTGTCAGTTAAATCATAATGCGTCGTTTTATGTAGTATTCACTAAACTTTAGAATTGTATAGTTATCGTCCACTGGCCTGCGTAATAGAATCGTTCTGTTCCATAAGAATGCAGGTGGATGCTCCTCATACCACGGGACATTTTGATAGAATACATTATTATAACACGTGTGAACTCGGAGGAAGTGTACTCGAATGATTATTAGACGTTTGGTAAATCGCCGTTGATAAAACATATTAATACAAATAATAATACAAATAACACGGTACATCGATGCGAATCGAAAGTTAACAGAAACGTGTCGGGCGCGATTACGTTAAATCAATCGCGCGTCACGAATATAATATTATGATAGCCATTCTCCACTGATGTGGCGGCGGCGAATAAAACATTATAGACAAATACAATGTAAATATATTATGTTATGCTACTTTTATTTGTTGAGCGAAACTTATCCGGTAACTTTAGTAATCCAAATACCGGAAGTAATTTTCCAGTAGTATTGGTTGTATGCGGGGATTTGGAAGCCATGTAAATAGTTTGTGGGTTTCGTGCTGGCTGCAAGTGTAGCTGCACGGGCTCAGAAGAGCAGGAACGACACGCGGGTGCGGCGGCCATCCCCTTTGCTCCTCCGCCCCATCCCAAACTGTCACATGGATCCATCCGAGCCTGATCCTCCACTCAGTTTGCCACCTTCACCTCCGGAACCAGCACCGCTACCGTCTTCGCCACGGTCGCCGAAGCCACCGCTTCTGGTCGACAATCCTTGGAAGTCCAAGTTGTACTAAACAAATTGGTTCAACATTAAAATATGAGCATGTGTGATGGGTATAAATATGAAGGATCTGGGTACAAGAGAACAACTGTATGTCGAACGGAATTATATGCGAGACATTTAATTACTGACTTGTTGATGATGGAAATAATCAATAAATGTAAAATAAAGTACAGTATTTGTAATAAAATCGATTTTTTATCGGTTCTCAGACAGTTTTTAATAATTTCCTTTCATATTTTTATCGTATACAATATTAGGAGAACAACACTTACTTTAGTAGCACATACAAAACAGGTTGTGACTACTTTTGATATAACGTTCATTAGCGTTTTAGTTTCGTTAATCACACTGTCGACTTTTGAAAATGTAGCAGATTTACCAACCGTTGGCATTTTTACAGTAAATTGCAACTGTTGTACGTATGTTGGAACTTGGTCTAACTGTTCCAAAAGTTCTTTTTTGTTTGCGCCCATAGGAACCTAATAACAAATGATTGAGTTTAAAATTATAAAATACGTTAGATAAATACGTACTTAAAATGTTATAATAAAAAGAATAAAATGTTAATTGGCGTAGATAAGTTAAAAAAAATATGTTTTAAAAACATTATACATTCACACATTAAACGTGTAGGTACATATAATTCAGAACAATTATAAGAAGATCAATAGTTAGAATATCCAATTAATTAGAAATAAGCATTTAAAATAATTAATATAATGTATCAGTTTGAATTTTAAATTCGTCAAAGTACAACATTTAGTTTAGACTACTTAATCAATTATTTGCCACAGAGGTACCTACCCATATAATGCTTACAAATGCAGAATTAGGTTAGACGATTAAAAGGACGTAACACGGGCATTAGTTGTCTCCGTCTTACAAGTGCATAACAGCTAATTCACTCTCAGAAAATCACGTTTAGCGTCATTAGGTTGAAAATGAGATTAAATCTACTTATTATGAATGTTGATGGTCAGAACATTATCTGTATATGTATTGTCTTTATGATAGTTCATTTTTTTTAGCAAGTTCTACGTACATATAATATAAGGTAATTTAAACATGCTATATCTCATTTAAAAACTGAATTATCGTGATAAAAACCCACATACATACACAGAATATGTTCTTGCTACCAAGTCTTATAAGTTATAATAGGTCGATATAGTCGATTTTTTTAAGCTAAATGTGGTCTGGTGAGCGTAAATTTGCGTTATTACTTATAAGATAGGGACAAAAAATGGCGGTGTTAAGTAATATGTACTTTTAAGTACTAGAAGGTATTTAGCAAAAACCCAACGGACGACTTTTAATTCATTGGGGCGCATACTGCGTTTAAAAATAATGGACATTAAGGTATGAACAATATTTATGAAAATATTTTTAAATATTGTATGGCCTTATGGCTGTCATATAGTTATTTTTGCACCATTGAAAGTCATTCCATACATTTTCACTTCTATAGATTCTGCTAAATAATTATGAATTACAAATCTTGGATTTTGACGGCACCAGAATAACATGTCCCGAACATTTTTAATTCCTATGGTACATTATATTTAATTGAGTACTCACATTTTTTAAAAAAAATATACGACAAATATAATTACATAATATGGTTACCAAAAAGTATTTGAAAAACGTTTACATTTTCATTGTTCGCTACTAAATGACAACTATTTTTAAAGGCGTAGTTTTGCTGTGAAGAGATACACATCATACGGTCCGTTCATCAACCGCAACATAACAGTGTTTATACCTGGTACGAAAACTGTCTGACCAATTTGTACAGCCTGTTAGCTTCCTCGGCCAGGTACTCCGCCTGCGTGAACAGATCTTGAGTGGTCCTCAGCGACGACCCACCGTCTCCCTTGGTGAACTCGTACATGCTTAACGCCATGCCGGACATGTTTTTCGCCCTGCGCACAATGTCGTTGTCTTCGTGTGCTTTGGTCGCGTTGCCCCGCTCGTCCACGCTGGCGCCTTCCTCGTTGGCCGCGTCGTCTTCTTCTCCAGCGCCCCACCTGTCCGCTTCCGCGTCTACTTCACTCGACGCCAATTTCATTTCCAGACCAGCCTTGGCGATTTGATCTTGTTCCTATACAGGAGGCAAGAGTGAGATAAAAACAAATATAGTAATATAAAAATAATATCTCCGCGACGACAACGACGGATTTAATTCGATGTCTTACCGATAGATCTAGTCTCACTGACTTCAGCGGTTTTGTTGTCGTACCGTGTTTCTGTAAAGAATTGAATTTTGTCATGAAAAACCAACATTCTTTGAAATAAACATTATAAACACGAAAACTTGTAAGTTTAATGTCAACTTACGCCTGGCCTGGGGAGTGACATGTATGTTTGTTTTTCCGGTATTTGCTTTTCCATAATTTCTTTACACACCGTAGACACGTCTTGAGTCAATGCTTGCCACATGTCCGCAAATACTAAAAACAAATTACATACAGGTATGTTAATATATTGTATGATTAAAAGCTTCAGAAAAAAAAGTATAAAATATTTTTATCACCCACCTTCTAAATTTTCTTTTATGATTTTTGAACAAGGATAGTGAGCTAGTGCTTGAGCAGCAGTAACGATTTGTGGTGCGTACACTCGTAAATTGACTTCGGCGTGTTTGGCAGAAACCTGAAGTGATTCTGCAGTTGCAATGTGCCTCAGTACTTTACAAATCTGTGATCAAGGCACGATATTTGTTGAGATTTCTAATTAGTTATTATGTTTTTCTATTTTTTTTACTTACCTCTCCGATTTGGTCTACGACTTCAACGAATTGATCGCCGTACTTGTTAAGACTGTCGACGTCTCCATCGGAAGACGTGGTCTGTATGCACGTTACGAGGTCATAACCAGTCCTAATTATTAAAGGTAAGTCATGGGATTGTTCTTTACACGTCGCTATCAGCTGCAGTCTGAGTTCTTTGGTGGCGTCGAGGCACTGGTTTACGGCGACTTCCAGCGATTTCGTGGGTGAGTATTCGTCACACTGTTCCTAAAAAATATTCCAAACAAACAGCGTTGTTTAAGATGGTAATATCTATACCCTAGGATCGCAGAATCGTGGTTATAATGTATCCAATATAATGACAGTTTTAAAATTAAATTAGAATTAGGACATCATAGATTTGAAATTTATACGGTTTCGATCCAATTATTTATATTATTCATGGTACAAACGTTCATCCAATTACTCATAAAAAACAAAGTCAACGAATTATTACAAGGGTTTCGTTGGAAAACGAAACTATAGTGTGTATGGAACATAATTCGTTTAAATGTTTTCGGAATTACACAAGACATTGAACATAGTATTATATTATAAGTATACAACTCGGAAGCGCAGAACCCAGATGATATGTATGTACCTACCAAGGTTTGAGATTATAAAACGTAATAATAAAGTTTCATTTTATTATAGCGGCCATATTTGTAAGTACACTCGAGGTATTTTAAAAATTAAGTGGGTCTCTAAATTAGTTTATAGTTGTAATACAGTTTATTTACTTTTTTTTATCCATAACTTGTTATCAAAACTAAGGTTAGTATTGGTAAACGTACAGTTATGATATGACATGACAGATATTTGATCAAACTTTACGAAAATAGTTTCAATAATTTGAAATATAGTCTAGGTAAACCTAAAAGTAATAATAATACAAAATATATTTTAGAGTGAGAACTATTACTCTGTTCCATTGTATTATATTATTATAAAACATAAAATGCGATTTAAAACCGACTTTGTGAAAACATTATTTATTACTAAAATTATCATGTACCGTTTATAATATAATCAATATCATACCTATGCATCATAACCAGTATGATGTTTTGTTCAATAAAAACAAAACTTCACACCATCATCTATCATATTTTTGACAGTATATTTAATGCAGAATTATACAATTTTGAAAACGTGTTTTTCTTTCATGTATAACAAACCAAAAAACAAGAAAGTTTTTCATACACTGAACTTTACTCTTCACCTTGACAACATGACGTTTTACCATTCCTGTACCTACAGTATGCATTATAACTTTAGCAGTTTATTTCAAACCTAACTATAGTTTAAAAACTTTTACTAATACAATAATTATAATTAACAGTTATTAAATTTGTAAAAAAAAAATATCCAAGTGTTTTCTATTGTCTAAGTTAAACTATGCGCCTATAAAATAAAGTTCATACTGCCATGCCTGTATAAAATAACCATGTTATTAGGTACTAAAATAGAATTAGCAACTTCATATTTATTATTAAGCTTAGATCGTTTTATGTTAATTTAAGTTTAAAAGAGATTTGCCACAAGAAATGACGTTCACACATTTATATTTCAGATAGGGTTTTTTTTTTTTTAAACAAAGACTCCTTTAATCAATAAACCTTGAGTTATTCTGGATTTCAACTGAAAAAAATAGATTGTGTGATTTCACTGGGATCACTAGGATTTTGTTACACATTTACATGTTTTATTAAATTTTCAACCAAGGTAGTCACCAACCGCATATAATCAAATTTAAAAAATGATTTTCAGCTGAACTCTGTGCCTTTGTCGAAACTGAAATTTCTTAATTCCTTCAACACTAAACATTTTCTAGTCGCATCATTGTGATCGACTTAAATAACAACAAGCACGAAAACTAACACTGCTACTGACTTCTTTCAATTTACTGACAATAACGAGTTATGTACCTATATGTGATTGGAAAGTCAGACATTGAAACAAAATGAATTTGAGAGGAGAACAAAATCATTCAATCAGTATAATAATACTACATTTACGTATATGACAGTGGTACCTAAAATGTATTTTAAGCCTTTACACCAATATCGACTCTGTGGGTGCGTGTGTGTATGTGTAAGTATTTTCAACTGAGACAAAATACAATATTATAAAAAAAGAGATGTAATATATTTTTTATGAACATACGTGCATTGTGTGGGTATGTGTGAATACAGCTATTATATTTATGTATAGTAGAGCATGCATATTATATTTACAGACAGTGTCTTATCCGGTTCAATCGTTACGGTGTTTTTTTTCATTATTATTTGACCGAGTTTTGCGCACTGACATACAGGCGCTACATAATAAATATAATAATATATCGATTTATTACTATCCCTAACATCGGACACAATATTGGTTGAGGAATTTATTTTTATTTTATTGTTGTTTTGTTTTGATTAATGAATCGAAATACTGTTTTAATCATTTAAAACGTTTAACGGCCAAAAATGATTTATTACTATTGTTATATTATTATTATCATCGTTGTGCATTTTCTCGTCATTGTTATTATCGTTTTACATTCTCTTGACTCAAACAAATGTCGATATCACGGCGGTGCGCCAATTGACGCACGCACACCTACTTTTATAATACATAATACATATATATTATATACGAATATATATTATATACATCATTATATTATACACTTGTTGCCCGTACCGCATTGAATAAACATTTTAGCTCGGCGCACTCAAACAACACTCGACCTTTCATTTTTTTTCCGCAGCCCCTCGTCGGCGTCTTAACCGCGGTAACCATATTCGCCGCTAGATCACAGAATAGGTTAAGCAACACACAGATAATTAAAAAAAGATACCGATTTAGCGAAATGTCTAATAACCATCACGAATAATGTTTAAGATAGATAATTTTGGATAAGTACAAAGTAATTCTAAGAAACAATAACTACAATACCAAAATATTTCAATATTTTTTAAACACTTTTTGTGTCTTTATAAGATATTATTATACAGTGTTGCACTGTGCATTTTTATAGCAGCTGGTCAAATAGTCCATAGTTGTTATTGATTTATGAGGTGGCCACAAATTAAACCCGACAAGATCATAGGACTAAAACGTAAACTGTCAAAACCAAACGGGACACGAACACTTTTTTATAGTTATTTTTTTGTGAGTAGTGGGTTTTTGAATTTTAATTGCTGTATTTAAGACGTGACTGAGTTCTTAGCAGCGTTTTAAATTTAATTATATCCCCATAGAAATACTTAAAATGTTATTCTTTATAAACGTCTATTTTTTTTTTTTTTTTTGCTACGAAACTATTACAATATTATAAATTTTTTTATTATCTTAAGCAAAACTAATGCTTTTTTTACCATTATTATTTCTTTAATTTTTATAGTCATAAACAATATATAATCTAACCAACTGTTTTATACTTTTAATGCGTGTTTAAGATTCATATTATTTTTTTAAATTTTGCTTACCGGTATTATTTGTGAGCATTTTTTTACTGTTAATTATACAAACTATGAAAATAGGGTTTTTTTATTCCATAACATTTTTAGAAAAAAACGTATAATTTTTTTTAAACACTTGAACGTTGGAAATACTAAAATAAACTATTTAGAATATCATTGTTTAGTATTCGTATAATATATTATAGAAATGTGTAGGTAGGTATCAAAATTAAAAATAATATTATAATAGTTATCAAATACATGTCTATCCATCTAAGAAAAAAAAAATTGTCCAAGTAAAATCCACGCTTGAAACATAAAAATTAAATTAATGAATACACTAGCCAAACACTTTCGATTTCTTATGAATAGATCGATGGATTTATCATAAAATAATACCAAAATAATACTCTACTCGGTAGTCGCCTATATTATTATGTTGTATACAGGTGATTATTTCATCGAAGTGGTGTACAAATAGTATTTCAATTATCAAGAAATTCAATATTCGGTAGAATATCGAATTACAATTAACGATGATCAATTAAAACGGTTTTAATTTAAATCCATACAGTGTTTAAGAGTTGGCAATGATAGAGTAGTTAAATTAGAATGCGTATAATGTGTATAGTTGTGTTCATTCATTATTGATGTGTGCCTAAGTGGATGGATGGTTGTTTGTGTATAGTAAGAGGGATGTCTAACCTACATGGGGATGATATACCGTACATTTAATTGACCGGTGTCAGAAGAACCTAACCAATCTTAAGACCCTCGTCTTATTATTCTTGGTATTCTGCTGTAATTAATTATTATATAAAACATCTTCGTTTATCAAAATAGAAAAATTCAAAATTAACGTAAATACCTGAGTAAATGCCTGGTTAAATATCACTTATAGGTAGGTATTTAATTAGGCACCTACAGTTTATAATAAATGCAAATTCCTGCTGAACTTTCAAAAGTTAAAAAAAAAACTTAATTCAAGTTTTAAACAAGACTTTTATGACTTATTTTAAAGGTTTTATATTATGATGTAATGAAGTAATAAAGTATTTTGCTGTTGTATGATGTATTTGGTTCACAACGTATATATTATCTGATCCAAAACTTTATGAACAACCAATGTATCCTTTTAAAAAGTCAGTAAACTTTATCCTTAAAATAACTTTTAAAAAGCTTTAGATTACATGAATAAATAACAGATATTATTTTATTATAAAAGAAGGAGTTGGTTTTAAGAGTCACTTTCCATTAGAGATTGTTTATTATGCTTAAAAGGATTTAAACGGCATTGTACAATCCTGAATTCAAACATAAGTTTAATTATAGTTAAATTAGCAAAAAATTAACCGATATCGTACCTAAATATATAAATTAATACTATTAAATCAAAATATCCTATGTTTCAACATTACGTATACCTACCTACTAGTTACTAGATATAAGGTAAAAACTATAAGTGTGTATCTACTAGTAACTTCTAGATTCAACACAATTTGACAGTTAAATGTCGATGGCTTGAACTTTCAGTTTTGAAGATTTTTTCATAAAAAAGGAAAATGTTTCATTTGTTTGTCAATGTTTCACTCGTTGGTTTTCAGTATTTAATATTTATATATTGGTAAGTTGACCTAATCATTGATGGTATATACTTCAAATTTAGAATAAATGTATACATTAAGCACTAGTATGTAGATATGTACGAAGTAGGTATATGTTTATACATGTGTAAATAACATTTGGAAGCAAACAATGTATGTTGTTCTTGTATAAATGTATAATACATTTTTCAAAAGTTTAAAATCAAAATCAATCCTATAACAATTTAAGTTTTAAGCTTTAATTGTTAAACTATAAACTGTAAGTTCCAAACATTTTATTTTAAACATTTTTTCATTCAAATAAAATTATTGATGTTAATTGTTAATAGAATATTATATTATATTGTTGAGTGTCATGTTCTATTGTTAAAATTTGTAATTTGTAAGTATCAAGAAGTACTTAAATTCATGAGTTAATTTATTTTGTATTGGTACTACTACAGAGCTTCTTCATCGTCGTTATAGTTTAAATAGTCTTTTTCTATATGTATTTAAGTTCAAATCACGTGAAAAGTTTTTTACATTTACATGAAGTGTACATATTTCGTGCTGACGTGACGCTCAAAGTGATTTGAAAAGTGTTCGTTAGCGTGTTTTACATTGTCTATCTGAGATACAATATTATGTTTAATTTTATATATTTTATGCACTGTGTACTACCTTAGTATTTTTTTAAAATAAAAATCAAACCTATTTAAATAAAACTTTTTAGTTACACTTAGACATGTAAAAAGCAACTCAACCCTGAAAATTATGTTCTGTACATTTTGTTATAATAGTAATAATAGTGTGAAACTAATAAAATAATTGTATTAAATGTCAATGGCGCGGCGAGTATAAAATTGCGCCTACCTACTTGCCATTAACTCATGAATGTATTATAATAAATGACATGAGCTATTTTAATATGGTAGAAACCGCGCACGGTTTAATAAAGTAATAATAATATTTCTAAAAATCGCGTGGACCGTTTACCTACGTTGTGTAATCATTGATATGAAAATATATTGATTGTACCGACTATTGGGTAACAGAAACTAAATAATAGGAATTATAATAAAATGGGTACCGAAATTTGAATTATTATTTTCAAACACAACTCACCAGCCTAGCTCCGGCTCTGATTAATTGATCGAGGTGAGTTTTCACGCGATCGCACAGCGTCAAAATATTTTCCCGGTGCTCGTGTCTGGTGTACGCGCTGTCGGTGAAGTCTTGCGTCCGTTCCATGATCACGTCCATGGTGCGCAATAGCGTTTCTTTCTCGCTCAGCACGAGTGTCAACCTATGGGGACACACATAGATACGTACGTTACGTCATTAGTAATACAAGTGTATATGCGCATAAAATATATGAATATAATATGATGTAAAAGCACGCAATTGTTAACAACCCACGGTGATGGTAATCGCGGAGGGTGAGGCGGCGATGATGGGTAGATCGTCCGGACAAATCGTTTTTTAATGAGCCCCGCAGCTATACAAAATAATAATATATACACGACACCTTGAAACGACGATATAGTGTTTGACAGTTTCCATTCTAGGCGGATTTACGCAAACAAAAAAAAAACAAAATGTTCAAATGCGTAGCTCAAGTAAATGGATCGCGAAAGACAAATGAGTCGGACATCGAATCGGAGTGTGAAAAGAAGCTATATAGTCGTAAATCCTGCAAACCGTCACTGTCAGTATGCAAAGTTCATGAAATAAAAATATGCGTCTCATGCATTTGAACTGACAAGAGTGAATATTATCAAGATGGCATTATTATGACAAGATGCATTTACCAACTCCACGTGGCAATTAAAATATAATATTTCATAAGAATATAGTAATGCTTATTGCTGTGGAGCGTTATACCAGTGAAATATTATACGAGATAACTACAGCAGGTATCCATAATAACTACCAACTATCGTCTATCTGTCTCATACATGAATTTGTTTTCCGCAAACGTGTAGTGTGTACCCTGTAAATGGTGTTCTACCAATTGATGTAAGCCTACCTACGTACGCGAGCTGCTATAATATATAAATATAAATAATGAATTCCTGGAATAGTTCTAAATACTTTCGAGGAGAGTAGCTGCTGTGTTTGGGGTAGTGTGGACTTAACTCTCGTGAGTAGAACGGCTTCCGTATCAAATTATCCTTGATGTCAAACGAAACTAGAGGAGATTATAGTAGCAACCTTGAAATTAGGATCAGGAACTCCAGTAGTAGTTTCAGTACAGTTACGTCAGCTATAAGGATTACTTCGTTTAACAAACGTCGCTGAATGATATGTCCTATGTACTGTATAATACATAATTAAGGGTCTGCTGTGAAAAAGCCGAAGAAAATCTTGCTGTCTCATCTAACTGATCTTTTAATTCAAATGATATATTATATGTCAACATGACGCTAAATTAAATATGTAGCATAGTAGACTATTTGTGTACGCAATGCAATCAAATATTGATAATACAAAGTGGGACCAAATTCTCAAAGGCAATAAAATGTTAATACTCGATGAGCTAAACTGAATAATATAGTATGTTGTATGCACTATATGATTTGAGAATCACAAGACAATTTTTCAAACTAGATATCATGAAAGCATTTTAGTTTTGAGTATATTTTATAACCAAAATATACTTTGTTTATCATGTAAATAATAAGTACACAGAAATTGAGAAATATAATGTAAAATTGTAAGTGTACCTATGTAATATACTAGTATGTATTCATATACAATACAAATAAATATTCTGAACTTTTACGGAAAGTATATATTTTTTTTAAGACTCGAATGTAAATTTTTAGTAAATTATTTACTTTATTATTTTTCGCAAAACTCATGCATCTATTTACAACTCAATTTACTTAAAATTGATTTGAATATCACCTAAAAATATGAATTGTAAAATTTTAAATACAAATGGAGATAAGTAAAAATAAAATAAATAAATAACATTTATATAAGACTATACCCTGTTTCAAAAGAGAACATACCAAGCGGCCACGGGCAAAACTGGTTTTCTTATGTAAATCTGGTATATTCTCTTTTGAAACAGTGTATACAATTAAATGATTTATGAAAAGGTAATAATTTATATAATTTTATAATTTTTTTGGATTTGAATTATAATTTTTTATTATTTATATCTTATGTGAAAATCAAAAAACAATTTTTTTTCACGGAAGTTGTTATCACTTATCAGTTTACCTAATAATGCTCTGTGAAATAATGTTTAGATATACATATTGTCATATTGACTTCCATAGTAGTCACATTGATGTCTAACTATACACAATTAAAAAAAAAGCCATTAGTCCAAAAAGAGGAGTTTTTTAATCACTCTAATTGAAAAATTCTTAAAAAATAACATACCTAATATGAAATACAATTAACAGACTATATATACAAAATAATAAACAATATGCATACACTATACATATAAATATATAATTTTGGTCGTCACTCAGTGGTTAAAAATATTCTTTGTTATAAGTATTTATAACTATATTATTTTCTTAATTCAACGTCTATGGTTTTTAAATAAAGTAAACCCCAAGAAATGTTGAATTCTTGGCATAACATTGACAATTTTAGTGTTTGATCACATTATAGATGTATAAATTTACGACACCTATTAAGGTGTATATAATACATTATGATATCTACAGCATAACAAATAAAATGTGTAGTGTCAAGAATCATTGACCCCCGTGAATATCGAGTATCTATAACTTGACAAATAATATTTGTATTTTTATTAACGTTTATTTAAGTATGTAGGTAACCTGTGTTCAACCAGATATGGTTATAATAATATACCAATTAAAATTCTCAATTGAACCTCAACTGTTTCACTGTCGTCCAAACCATACGCGAAATTTACTGCGGGGTTATTCAAAATTAATCATCCAATGCTTTGCACCTGGCTTCCTAGCTAGACACCTGATTTTACACCGCGAGAGTATGTGACTAGGTACTAATTAATTTGAGAATATGCTAAAGAAGCAGCAACGCGTACCATTAACATCAACCACAGAGGAGTTAACAAATTAGCAGGGTCAATTACAACGGATATGCATGGAATTAATTTGAGTTCCGGCTAAATGTTGATCATGTGACCAAGGGAATCTACATAAATATACATCATTAAATCAATTAGAAATATTATTCTTTTAATTAATGTATCATATTATTATATAACTCTAAACTTAAAGTATAAAATAAGTGTTTGAAATTGGATGAAATTTTTTTTAATAATCTTATATTTTTATTTCATTTATTCTTGACCATTTTTTAAAAAATTGTTATTACTTTTGTGTAAACCTAAACGTTGGTTGGACAGAATTATGAAAATGAAACGTCAACATTGTATAATTATTACTGAAAATTCATATATTCCGGACACCTTTAATAAATATGATTCAGTTTGTTTGAACTATAAAAGCTAGCGATAGAACAGATATGTTTACGGACTGTCTTCGTCGTACAATTATGACGTTTGTGTGCTCGAATTAATTTATAATATATAGATACAAAGTTATATGGATAGTGTATAGACACGGGTGCGCGTTAACACAGTTATAACTTAAAAGGGGATAATTTTTTTTTGTGCTGCAAAATCATAAATTTTTCTCTTAGTGCTATCAATATATTTAATTTTAGCCAAAATGTAAAAATTCAAACATAATAATAAGACCCGTACAATAATGTCGACCGAACAAGTTCTAGAGAGCAGCGGTATGCTTGAGCCTAATAATATTGTATGACTATACATAGAGACTACTGAATACCACGACCGTGGAGTGAGTGCACAACAAAAAATTTCAGGACGCGTCTGCATTGTGTTTACAGAAATATAGCGACTCGGAGACCCTCCGCCCACCAGCGTTACGATGACGCCCACTGTATTATTATTATTATTATTTTTATAATTAAATCACACTAAATATATACCTCGTCATGTCGACAAACGAGTCCAGGACGTTGAGCGCGTGGCCAAGTGTGTCGCCACCGTCTTGTTCCGATATGTACGGTGTCAGGGCCATGGACTCGCCACCACCCTCCTTCACACCGTCTTTGACCACGTAATGGATCAGGTCCATGGCCCTGCGCATCTGGCAAAACACCGTGTCCCGGTTTTGGCTGGCCTCCGAACTGTCCGGGTGCCTCAGACAAGCCTGTAACGCACACACACACACACACTCGTGTAATATATATTATATTATAAAATATCGTAATCGCTCGACATCCAAATTTTCCATAGGTATATACTTATATAGGATAATTTTAGGATTCATCCTTCGTATTGTACATAAATATAATAAGCTCTAATAATAGTATGTTAAATATTTATATACGATATAATGTATAATGATCCGGTGGGTCCTTCGAGATAAAGTAATGGGTTGATCAGTGGCTAAGTGAATCGTGGTGGAAAGGAACAGGGAAAAATGAATGGTAGTTTAAACGCTATAATCGTTTATGGACACATTACATTTTCATTATGTTTTTACTTACATCTCGAACGTTTGGCTTTTATCATAAAAACTGTAGACTGATGGAAACATTTAGAATGCTTAAAAAGTCAGTTATACCTCATTAAAAATGCAATCGATGTAAAAGTGCAAAAACAAAATACTCCAATAGAAAGTGACGGTTACCGCCTCACGTAGCCTCCGCCACAGTACGTAAAACATTTAGTATACAATTAGGGTTTTGTTCAACAACTGGGAAAGAAAATTATTCGACATACAACACAAGTCACATCTGATGTACCTAAATGACATAAAAACAATGCATAGTTCAAACTGTCATGTACATAACGCGATAAAGTATCAAATTGATAGTGTATATATCTATATACCTAATATCTATAGTCCTATAGATAATTACATACATGTACCTATATTATAGACGCAACTCTATATCGGTTATTCCATTTAAATACACTTACATAGGTATAGGTTCTTGATAGTCTTGAAAATTATAGTTCTATGTATTGGTGCCAAAATCCATGACTTCGTTTAGAGAAAATACAAGGGGGCCCGCCATGTTTCATTAAATTTAGTTTCTATTAACATCAATATTAACCATTAAGTATAAATAATAATGAATGTTTTTCAGAAAAGGCTTAGAGATCAAATTGACGATTGTAAAATAGGTATCAGCTTCTAATGAGTGTCCCGAAAACACAACTGTTCGGAGGCGGTCACTCGCATAGCCACAGGTCGAAAAGGGCTTTGTATTTATGGCGAAGAAATTGAGAATTTATGCTTCTTGTGTATATGAAACTGTTTACTTTATAAGATAAACTTTGATATTAAATCAAGGGCTCTGTTTTATTATTATTTTACTGCACCTACAATAAATAAATTTTTTACTACACCTAAAATTATTCGAAAATTATCTAATAGCAATCCTTCTAATGATTATCGGTTGATATCAGATCTAAAATAAATTATAAACGCAAAATGATCAAATATTTATATACTTATCAACCGACGAACATTAAAACAATTTCCAAATTAATTTCTCATTTTGTTATCATCCCCGCTGGTGTTAATATTCTCAGACCCGACCCTACTATACATATAATAGGTTTGTATGTTAAGGTGTATGTTATCATTATCTGCACACGCCTACACGATACCATTTCAGCACTTCAATTAATCGTTGTCGTATACGATTTGGCTCACTCACCTTGGACGAAGTCAACAGTAGCATGGTGGACCGCTCGAGTACTTGTCGGGCCGCGGCAATCTGAGACCGCCGCCGTTCGTCTTTCAGGTCGTTTTGCCGTTCGCCCGTCAAGTGAGCCAGCTCCACCATCTCGGTGCCAAAGTGACTGAACGCCTTGACGAACTCCGTGAAGTTGTTGACACCTTCCAACCGACCCAGACTCCGTGACACCTACGTAAACAGTAAAAAAAAAAATAAACATCCCGGTTGTAATATATTATCATTTTATTATATATAGGTACCCAGCAATCTACATAATGCATATTGATTTCTATTAGATTTTTGTCGTAATTGTTAAACAATTGCAGTGATTTGTTTGATTTTTAAAACAGTTATCGGTATACTTAACATATATAGCTATTATCTATATACTAATATACTATACAGCAGGGGTGACAAACCAGCTATATGGCACGATTGCCAAATGTTGAGCGTTGGCCAAAATTTCCAAGGCAAAAATATTTGTATTTAATTATTTAATTACAAAATTATCTATTATTTCTAAAAAATAAAGTCATCAATTATACGAGTTTAGAGCTCACTACTTCCCGACATAATATTTTGTAGCAATTTTAAAAAAAAGTGTCTTATTTCAAATAAACTCATTACCTATGTGAGTTTTTTTTCACAATGAATTATTTCAATTCAAAACATAGTAAAAATATATTATTGAAAGTAGCTATCTAATGCTGCTTACTTCATTAAACACGAAGACAAAAAAAATACACAATAGATATTAAAATAACTTTGGTGAACTTTTTTAAGGCCTCCATCACTCTCAGATAAAAATTGTTTATATAGGCAAATACAACATATTATTATTATGTATGAACACATAATACTGATGTACAATTTGTTCAAAACTTTGAATACTGAACTTTAGCACTTGGCCCGAAAAAAGTTTGTCACCCCTGCTATATAGGTTCATATTATGGTATGTCATAAATTCTCTACTTAAATAATATCTCTACAAACATATTCCGTAATCAACCTTTGTGCTATGGCATGATTAACTGATATTTCGATTAAACAATAAACAATTTGAGTGAACGTTAATATATTAGGTACTATTACATACTATATACAGATATGTATACATATATAGTATATATACTATATACAATTATCAAATAATTGTATACGTATTGTTAGAACAAAAAACATTTTGTTTTTAAAAAAATGTTTTCATATGAATTATTCTATAAAAATGAAATGCCCCTTGTCTACTATATTACTAAAGTAAATAATGAAAAAAAAAACACCAACAGTAATTTAATTATACATAGGATTTAAAAGACGGTGATTGTAGTATATATTTCACATTAAATCACAATTTATACAGTATTTTTTAAATTTATTATCACTGTTATTTGGTTTAAGTACGTTTCGTTATTTCATTTTTGTTTTTATTTGAATACATAATAATATACAATAATATACTTATATTTTTTTAAAAAAAATAATTGCTTCAACTAAATTTAACACAAAATATTTCTGACTGTATTTGCGTAAGCTCAAACAATAATTTCTGTAAAAATATTATGATAGTTATTAAATTAATGATATTAAATTCATGTTCATAAATTATGCAGTTTTTAAATTATAAATATTGCTGCCCGTTTATGTCTTTATGAGTACAGTGGAATTGAGTGGAAAGCACATTATAAAAATAATATAAAATTAATGTTTTAAAAGAATTTCTAAAGAATTGAAATTTTTATAAAACATCATTGACTCTGTAAAATTGATGTATTAACATTGGATATACTTATGGCTATTTTTAATTTACGTAGGGGACTAATTGTTCAAATAACATACTCGAGATAGTGGATATTATTTTAATTCAATATTAAAACATCAGAATCGGTAAAATTTATACGTCGAATTCAATAGCACGTACCTATAAATATTAACAGAATCGTAGGTATTGCTGAATCGCATAATATGCATATACATAATTATGAACCTACCTACTAAGTAATGAGTAATGACAAGTGATATTATACTTTTTTCCTTGTTTAACCTACAGCAGAGGAGGCTTTTTTTAAGAATACTACTCCACTGCTGCCATCGTTTAAGATATATTATGCTTAAGGTGTATTATCACATAGTTTCATACGAAATAGTCTATAGCTAAAATATATATTTTAAAATAAAAATGTATACCTCCTGTAGTATTACCCCGCCGATTATTATATTATACTGTCACATTAAACCATAATATGACTCCCTCTATTGACTATTATCCGGATTAACACGGGTTGAAGTTAAGTCCTTGCAAAGGGGAATGGATGTAATATTTGTACCTTTATTATGAATAGATACAAATAATAGTAGTTTTGATTATAATACAGTTAAAAGTTTGTACAGTTTATGGTTTCAAAAATTAAAGGTCGTAATGACAAAGTCAAATAAAATCGACTTAATATAGTTAATCAATTTATAACTGAAATACTTATCCAAATTTGATTAAACTAATAAAAAATAAACATGTTACAACATTTTAATACAAAATTAGCCAATTGATTTGAGTGAGAAATTCATAAAAAAAAATGCCTATATCTAAGATTTTAAGTAATACAAGATTCTTCATAATTTTGTCAATCTTTAACAAACAAATAAACATCAATCGGAAAGTCAAATTATTTTTTTGTGAGCGTTTTAAGTTCAAATTTTTATAAAATTGGACATTAGCAAAAATTTTCAAAAACGAATAACCGTAGATATTGTCAAATTTTTATAGTTAAGATTAAAAATTTAAAACAAGATTTCTTATAAGTAATTCATAGTTTGCTATAGTTAAAAAATATTATTTTTGGTTACTTTTAAAGTTTATTATTGTTTATTAATATCATTTAATTCATTCAAACATTATGTTTTATAGACACAATGTTATTTTTCTGATAGTCTTACGGAAATAATCAATTCAACAATGTATTACTATTTACTAATAGTACAATTAATAAATTTAATAGCAACATACTAAGTATAATAAGTATTCTAGATTAGTAGGTTGGCAGACCATCTTAGCTCAGAATCGTTTATCGTACACTATTATTCTATATTATTTAATTCAAATTAAAGACATCCATTTAAGGTGACCCACTCGATAACTAATGTACAGCACAGCGGCATCTACTTGCTGAGGTACACTTGACACCACTGTGTACAGTAGAGCAACTTCCTCAGTTTTTTTAATTTTTAATCTTCAAAACCTACTACCTAAAGATGGTTTCAACGATTGTTAGTGCAATAGTATTAATGTATTATTGTGACTTGACAATATAAAAAGGGTGTAAATATAGTACAATTTACAACTATCAAAAATCGTCTTTGTTTGTTCATTGTTGTCGTTTAATCAAAATGGGTTACACTTTTCTATTAATAATTTATTATTATTGTTGTATAATATATAGATTATAGAACAACAAATAATGCTTTGTTGACTAAAAATTATGAAAACTTTTTAATTAATCAATCAAGTTCCTTTACAATTCACTGCAATTTTAAAATAATATGTTATAATATTAAAAAATTAAAAAATGTAGACATTTTCATAAATTATCATGAGCACATGATTTTATTGGGGTGATGACTGCTAGGTGTAGCCTTTTGCATAGTTGCGTCTTTCCTAAGTAAGTTCTTTAATTAGTAATAGTATTATGTTTAATGACGTTAATAAGTGTTCAATGAACACATAGTAATATCATTTACCACATTATTAAAATTCATTGAATGCGAACTATTTTACTGTTAACATTTGAAGCATTTAAACTGGATAGGAGTGAAAAATTATTGAGTTAAAAGACAATATTGAGTCATATCCAACATTGAACAATTTTACATCTAATTAGTCGTCTAAGTGTGTCATCGTGAATTATGATCAAAAGAAGTAGGTTTCTTTATAATTTATTGAAAAGTATAACTCAACCATGGATTCTGCTAAAACACCAATCGTAATCGGTATATCAGTACATATAATCAGCTATTATTTCGTAAGTTTAAATAATATATATTTTGTCATGCGTACCTTGTCTTTGACTGAAATTAATTGCTTTACGACGACTACATCGGCTAATAATAACACTCTAGTGACTGAACTCAACAAGCACCGGGCAGCTCTTATCACAGATGCTCGATCATTGATTGAATCTTCAAACACGGCTTCGCATAGTTTTTCGATGGAAGCACCTGTGAAAAATACATCCAAGTTAATATGGTTTTTTTCAATCAGTTGATGTACATAGGTACAGTGACCTTTGGGTTAATACTGCCACGTGTAAACCGAGATAGAGGTATATAGTAGGGATTATAGTACATATCAAGTCACATATCCGATCCCACATTTATATGTATATTACGTAGGTATAGGTAGTATATTTAATATTTCTCCCTTTACTTTTATAATTTATTTGTTCTGTTCTATGTTCGAAACAATATGCATACATATACATATTGCTGATAGTAAGTTCAAACCAATAATATAATATTATAATTACTCTCGTTTTTATCAAATAAGTTTTTCAAAATGTAATTGACTGGAGATTGATGACTTGAAATTTGATGAGAAAAAATTGTCTTATATTAGTTATAGTAGGTACTATAATCCTATGTAGTATAAGTAGGTACATATTAAAATATAAGTATTTAATAATAATTAATACGGCCATCATACTATAAGAATCATAATAATATACTTAGGAAACTATTCGACGGGATTTTTACTGTAAAAATTATACTGCGTTCCTTTTTTTTAATACCTTAAGTAAACCAAAGATTAAAAAATTGAATTATAATGAGCTTATAAAACAGAATTAAAAATTAAAATAAAACTTAAGACCTTAGGGAGGATTAATAAATATTCTTTGCGCCCGAAAATTCATAAATGCACATACAAATGTATTTAGCCTATTCTGAAGATAATTGTATTACCTTTTACCCCGATATTTTTCAACCTCGCGAATTTATGATGATATTTTACATATTATTTTGTTAACTTAAAATTTAAAATGAATTTATTACTCAATATTAGGTAATTATACTAAATAGGTACTTGATGGGTAATAAACATACTAAATTTAACGGCAGTAGTAAGAAATACAATGGTGACTAAAATTGTATTGATAAAAGTTTTTATTTTAAAATAAAAATAGGGATGTTTGTTGTTAACTATAAGTAGTAAGCAAACAAGTTTCAAAAAGTAAATAACTTATAATTTATATTACATTTAGTTTGAACAATATGTGAAAAGTTATTTTCTACATGACCTTAAAATTTTCAAATAATCATCATAAGTAGTCAAACATAATAAAATGTATGTCAGCGAAATACAATAACGGCGTTAGACCTTTAGTCGCGACCTATACCTGTTTTTTTAAACACAAATTACTTTTAGTTCCGGACATCAATGATTTATGACTCGAGAATTACAATATGTATAGTTATATAGTTGTGTATCCATTCAATTTATACGTTATCATTATGTTAATAATTTAACATATCTACTTATTGTTACATATCTAACTTATTTCAATTTTCAAAAAGTTGTAAGATTGTTAAACATTAAAAATCTTCTATTTCTTTAATAATTTACAAAGTATTTGCTATAAAAATGTTACCTTCACGCCTAAATGTAATAAAACATTTTTAGTTTATATCACACATTTTATTTCAGTACCAACACTATATAAGAACCAAAATTACTTAGTGATTCATATCAATCATATCCAATATCCATATATTTCGTATTGAAATGGGACATTTTTACATATGGCATTAGCCTCCTTTACAACTAAGATAAGAAATAATCTCCTTTGAGTAAGCGGTCACCAAATTACTTATAGGATGAATCTTGCACATAGTGATTTTTACGTTATTACCATGACAAATAAGTGATAAGAAATTTTCCCGATAATTTAGAGGTGAAATTGTGATAGATTCTGTTTAAAAGTGGATAAAAGAAGGTGGGAATAATATTCTACGCTGGAAATAAAAGCTGATGAAAAGCTTATAAAAATGTATTCATTTTAACTATGATTATGTGGAAAAATAACTTTATACTTGTGATACAATCTTTATATAGGTATTTCATAAAAAAAAATCGTAACTTATCACTTTCTACCTCGTAATTTATATAGACTATAGGCATTTACACCTTTACCTAATATAATAAATTAGTTACCTATTAAAGTAATTATAATTTATAATTTGGTTAAATATCAACAGCAACATTTTTTTAATGTTTTATGGTTGATAGTGTTTTTCCTAATGTTACACAAACGTATTGATCTTACTTTAGGCAAGAAGCCAGAATGTTTTTTTTTTTTTACATCAATGCAATATTTCACGGACATATTTTATTACGCTATTGCAACTGTAAAATATTTCCTGACTTTTGTATTCGATGTCGTGTGTGAAATCAGAAACTCTAGAAAATAAATCTTTTACTCAATACTCAAATGTATATGAATACAGAATATTTCATTCAGCTATATCATAATATGTCAATACAAGTTTGCCCGCATACGTACGTTTAATAAAGAAACCCCATGTGGCAGTGGTGGAATACTAACCCTTAACATCCTGGCCTTGATTATAATATAGTTTTCGTTTATATATATTATATAGGTAGGTACGCTGTCGTTTACACGCAGAACATTCAAAGGAAAATAATAAATGTACATAATTATATTCGTATTTAAATGTGGACTTAATCGAAGTACTAAATTATATACACAAAATAATGAATCACAAAAACTTTGGCAGACTCATAATATAGGTACATTATTGTTTTATCATACAACATAATACTGTATACGAAATGAATGAACTAGTATCACGTATATTGTATAATATATCAAATAAATGCAAAACTTACAATGATATACCATATATATTTTATAAACCTAAGCATTGAAATAAAAACACATAAGTAAGTAAATACATACAAAATAGTAAATACAAAACTAAAATAAATATATTTTCAATTGATTCAATAACAATTTTTACAACAATGAATTATACAAAAACGAGGGATTATTCGTGATTTAAAAGTCAAAATCTTGAATACACTTCAAAATTTATTTTTGCTATATAATACATTTATGATAATAATTATATCTGTTAAGAGTATGCTAAAATGTTAAAACTCAAATTTTGAAAATGTTAACTTTGATTTTGAAACGTCATTTACAATCGACTAAGTTTCCTTTTGGAGTTATGAGTAAGTACCTGCCAGTAGTCAGTACTGACATTAAACTATCGAAAGCGGAAAGAAGTGTGTCAAGCACGAAAAAAAAACTTCTGCAAAACATTCGAGATGTATTTTTTTTAAACCAATAAAAATCGAAGTTTGCATAAAATCTTGAATAAAAGAGTAGCGCATTTTGAATAAGTTGCTCTCTTCAACAATTTGTCATTATGTACTACTATATTATAAATTATTACATCATTCTATAGTATAAAAGTATTTGCAATGCACTCGAAAAACGTTAATTCAAAATAATAATCGCTAAGGATAGGTACATTGAATAAGTATTTAAATAATTGTATTGTAAACCACAATCAAGATCTGAATACAACTTATTGCATATTATAATAGGTATGTAATATATATATATGTGTATGCAATTTGAACAGTCTGTACTTCTGTAGTTATCAACAATGTAATACCTATTTAAGACTTTAATAATGATTTTTTTTTCCGTGAGTTAATGTCACTGCACAATATGCAACTTAATTGTTTAAATCTATAAATCGTATAATAGAATAATGGTGAGAAAAATGTGCGTAATTGACTATAGTAAATCATAAGATAAAATAACTATAAAAATAATACTAAGTATAACCAATATCAATAAACTGAAATGATACAAAATAGCAGAAATAACATAACAAAATTACAGACATTGAAATAAGACACTTGAACTAAAATTAAATTACAAAAAATTAAATTACAGTGGACTAGATAGTAGAAGGTCAAAATCCTATTAAGTTTAGGTACAACGTGAAGAACCTATACAACAATGACAATATAATGTGGATATAATATGCACTGGACATTTTAGTATTATCAACTGCAGGCATAATTCGAAAAAATACTGAAAAGGTCCTATTGAATATCACGAGGACACGCAAGAACAATATTTTAGAGTTACGTTTTACTACCATTGAAATATTCCGGATAATGCCAAAATAAATGGGCTATTACTCTCGTAAACATTGTTTACGCGTGTTACTCAACACGTTCACGGAAAGCACAATGATAGTAGTTACACTTCCATTCTCCAATGTCGAACGAACACGTTCCGAGCGTCCTTATTGCTACATAGCTTTGAATGTAATTTGTTTTATTTCATCGGCACATCAATACCAAACAATATAATATATTATTTCGGTGACACGTAAATAATTTATACTTTTGCCCGGGAAACATTTTACCACGATGATAAAAGAATATTGTTTCAAATCGCTGTGGTACAGTGTTCCATCGTTTATTAATATTAAATTATTAAATTTATGAGTTTTTAAATGAAAAAGGAATCAAATATGGTGAAATACCAATAGGGACTGCAATATTGTAGTGTGTACCTAGTTACGAGTTGTATGATAGGCAATAAATAATAATAAATTATACCAAAAGTTAAACCGTCTTTTCCTATCACTTGTGCTGTTGCGAATTGCGTGCTTTTAAAAACTTAGGGTGTTTTTTTAAGGGAATTTTGTCATTGAAAAGGTATTTTGGTTATTTAAAGATCATTTTTTGATAGTTTATACAGGATTTAAATCCGGGCACTAATAATAATTTATCACGTGTTATTTGAGATAAAAATGGTATATAGTTGAAATTTGTGTATAATTTGGCTGTATTATTTTACATGACTTAACAAGAGATGACTCTTGTCTCCTGGTTAAATAGCAACCGAACACCAGAATAGGTGGAGACATATATTTTAATGAGGAATGAAAGTTGGTTTAATTGCACTGTTTTTTTTTCAACAGTGAAGATGCTTAAACATTGCATTACATTAAATTATGAATGCATTTTTTTTTTGTATTGAAATTAATCATTTTGTAATAATTATTTATATTTATCAGATCTGCCTACGGGATTTTATTAATTGTCATATAATATTTTTGTACAAATGAACTTCAATAAATATAAATATATTTTTTTTTATTTTAAAACCGTATTTTGATTTATCTAAGAACACGTAGGTTATTAAAACGTAATTATTATACATATTATTAGTGTTCACGGATAAGCACCTATACTACAACACAAAATACTAATTTCATATTAAGTGATTGCAATTATATCGAATTTGAAGGAAGAATATAGTTAGTTTTTTATTTTATCTTATTCTAATAACAAAATCATTATATTCGTATATTATGTTGCCATATAAAATATTATATTTCAATCTCCAATGTATATTTAACCTAGTGAGAGTGTTTATAATACGACTAAAAAAGCAGAAAATAATTTGAAACAAAATGTTTGTTTTCATGATTTAAACTTTTAATGTTTTTATTGAGAACTAAAAAGTAAATATTTCTTGTTGTTTTTCGAAACTAATTTATCAAGTAATACAGAGTGTTTTTTTAATGAACCATTATTTCAAAATATTTATTTGTTTTAAAACATTTTGGTTTTTTTTAAGGTTTTTGATACTTAGAATTGTATATTTTTGCTTGTACAGTTGTACTTTGAAACATTGTTGCTGTTTTTCATGCACTGTAAATTTATAAGAACTTTGGATTTTTAAGTTTGAACCACTTACAAAATAACAATATATAATTCTTCACAGTGCAGTTTGATGGATCAAACTCCTTACAAAATTAATAGTTTGATACCTAACTATCACGTTTGAAATTTTAAGGAGTGTAGTTTTACAGTAAAAATAAATATAAATAAGATAAAATGTTTGAAGTTTAGGTGGTTCTTACACCAAAAATAGCAGATAAAAATTTAAAATATGTTTCTATACGATGAGGAAATTTAAATAGAAAGGTATTATATAGGAGAATAATACAATTTGCAGTTGATTTCTATTCTGCAATAAAATAGTTTCGAAAATCTAGAAAATAAAAAGCATCTCTAATCAAAACCGAAGCTTTGGGTTCTGTATCCGTAGTTCCGGGTTCGCGTCGTAACGAAAACCATTAAAATTTATAAACAAGGTTGTAATACACTAAAACTTAATCTTTGTAGTTATTAAAAATAATGTGGTTTGCTTAAATACAAGTTTATTACCTATTACTTTGAAGTATTTGAATAACATTCTTACATTTGCTTAGTATAATTATCTAGCTTATTACAGAATTTCTTTTTGTTTCAAATAATTAAAAACCTAAAACCGGAATGTCATTGCGCATAATGTCGTGTACGGCGTAATAATTAGAACTCGACATTAATAAACACGCAAGTGATCTTTGTTTATTTCATACATTATTCAATATTGTGAAAAAAGTAAAAAAATTTTGCAAAAAAGGGTAATTAGAAACATATTTTGTAAACATCAACAATGATTCTGATACGTGAACATTTCGGAAAAATGATGTGCTAAATAACTTAGGCAGTAGAAAAAAAGTGGACCTCATTTGAAAAATTAAAGAGGTACAATACTCCACAGCAGCGTTCCTTAAACTTTTTTATCCTTGGAACCCTTTTTATGTGCACTTTTATTGTGGAACCGCAACTTTTTTTTGTTTAGCTTTCAACAATAAGTTATTACAGCTGGACAATTAAAACCACTACTTTTCTTTCAATATTTTTAATGCGTCATTTTATGTAAGAATTATTGCCAATAAAAGTTATAAAATTGTGTTAAGATTTTAAATTTCAACTTCAAATGCTCATAAAAATTTAATTTGGATTTACGCTCAACTTTTTTTTTAATCTCAACTAACAAGGAACCTTGTATTACATTTACAAGTTTTTTGATGGAGTGAACATGTTATGTCGACTTTAGTTTAAAACAAATGAATAATAATCAAAAATTTCATATGCCTATAAATAGTTCAACACAAATCAAAATATTTTAAAAAATGTATGGTGTATAGTAAAAATTCCCGTTTTTCCTTAATTTTTTGTTTGTTTTTCCTGTTGCTTTTGAAAACTATTGAGAATTTTAAATTTTGACACTTGAATACCCTAGATTCGCTTACCTGCCGGAAAAGTTGCTGTTGAAGAAATCTAAGCACTTTTACTGCAAGAAATCGTGACGACAGACCCAAAAAATAAAAAATAAATAAATATAATACACACCATTTTTAAAATCAATACATTCATCGCTCCGCTCAGAATCTAAAAGCACAAGTTTTGTGGAACTCCGAGGTTCTACGGAACACAGTTTAAGAAATTCTGTTCTACAGGGTACTTCTATAGTCTTACGAAAAATCTCAACGGTTTGAAATGTAGTCTCTAAAGTAAGTTTAAGAATTCTAAAAATTAGATTTTAACAACTGCGTAATTGAAGAAAAAATAGGATGAGAATGTTTGGTGAATCAAACTGTACCTATATGTCAGTATTATTGTGATTCTTTCAAGTCGCAAATCACAATTGAGTAACCAACACAAAATCAGTCTATGATCTAGTATCCTGTCTATATATTAATTGTATTTACATCCTTACGTTGGATAAACTTTTTCACTATGTAATCTTTGGGTGTGGAATAAACTATAATATATATGTATATATAGTATATAATATATTTAATACAAATAATAATTATTAATGATAAATTGTTGATAATTTTGATATTCAGGGGAAATAATTTCGGAATTAAATTACTGAAAATTTCATCATTTTTCCTAATATTTTCATATTTTTTTTTTTTACATTTTTGGGTACCTATACATGGTTATATAGTTACAACAATATAATATAACAATATGCACACGGAAACATTGTCCGAGCTGACGATCCGTGGGTTTATACCACTCTGTAGGCCTCTTCCGGATTAACTACAGCGTAGACCGCGCGTCGTCGGGTTTGGGAGATTTTCGCATCCGGAACAAGTAAAAAAAAAAATAATAACAACCACTGCCATAATAATACTAACGATAAATTAAACATTTAAATACGACAAGGCATTTTTAAGAGAATACAGTGAGTAGAGGCGAGGAGGGTAGGGAACCTACTATCGAGACTTGTCTCCGCATGGGTGGGTAGACAGAGCGGGGCTAGTGCTAAAGGACGTGGTGGGGCGAGGGTTATGGTTGTCGAACCAATGGTTCCGGAAATCGGACCCAAAAGCATTTTGCCACCGACATTGCAAATACAATATTATGTAGGTACGATAGTGTACGACGGAGAGTGGAGACCCGTCGACAACGTCGACAACGTCCTCTACTCCCCCACATACCCTCGAGCACACACACATTTCACATGTATAATATTATATATATTATGATATGACAAGTCGAGATAAAAAATTGTTCAACTGAATGTATATATAGGTGCGAGGAGGAGGTGCTCGTGGGTGTACTCCGGCGACCGGGTGGCGCGGGTCGGCCGGTCGGACGGGTCGTACGGGGTCCGCTTCAAAGGGTAGGTGGTCGATGTAGGACAGTGTCTGCGTGGGTGGCGCACGGGGGTGACGTGGAGCGTTCTGCTCTATATCTCGGCGTGACGCGCCTAAACGCACCCCCATTCGCACTAACCCTTCGCGCACCCCACCGTAGCGTGTTCGGGCCACTGTATTTATGCGTATGTACTCGTACTATACGCGTGTACTCACCTGCCGCCCTGGCCTCCTTGCACTCCAGGTACATGTCGGCCTTTATCTCGGGATTGTCGTCCGCAATGGTCTCGCCGACAGTCACGAACCGCTCGATGGCCAAGTTCACCCCCTGGCCGACCCTGGCTATCGCCCTGGCCGTCCTCTCGGTGCAGAACGGTCGTTCCCGGTGCGCCACCAACGTCGATATCTGTAACACAACGTACAACAAAATATTATATTAATAATACAGTTTCTTATCTTATTATACATAAATATATTTTTTATACATAAAATATATATACATTTTTTCGATATATATGTATAGGAGAGAGGGGGATGTCGGGGTAATATAGTTGAAGATAACAGAAAAAAAAATGAACATGGGTAAACTGACCATAAAACGTCCCCCGAGTACGGCCGTGGGACATCTTCGACGTGTGTAAGTAGTGTAATATACAGTTGATTATTACTGTTTAATATTATTATTATATATATACACACACACACACACATATATATACATACGTATACACACATATATATACATATATAGATATAGATATGCTAGCTAGTACCCATAGCTAGTGCTGTGTAGAATATTAAATAGCACTATGATAAATTATGTTACGGCGTTATTATTATTGTTATGTGGGTAGTAATATGGGTAATAATAATATCGTTATATAATAATATTATATTAAAGTTTCGTGTTGGGCCACGTGTGAAATCCGCAGGACGACTATTGACTGTACAATAACTACTACTTAGGGTATATGAGCAAAACAACCTAACGATGATGACGACATTTTGTATTCTTTTTTTCGATCCAAAAGCTCGGAGATATTCATTGTGCAAAAAAAAATATCACAACGTTTCTGGTTCCAATTATACGTCAACGTGGTATGTATATAGGGAGGTACTCGTCAATGTTATTGTTTTCTTTTTTTATTATTTCAATGGGATGAAAGCGTGTTTCGTTTATTCAACACTGTTCAGCCCTCCACGATCACTAGTCACTACTCGTATATATATTGTATATACGAATACATCATATACAATTCTTCCCATACTTACAACGAATATACAATTTTTTACTTTATCAATTATTATACAACTGTACCTCAGTCCCTGTATAAGACTATAATACGTATAAAATATAATGTGTCTTACTGTGCTGTACTCCTGTATAAACGGTTATAAGCGATTCTCCAATTTAGGGAATTTTGGTTGATTTTTAAATCGTATTAGAAACATAAATGCCTGGAGAGTATGTATCCATCGATAACACTTTTGCAATTATCGTCATTCTACTACGCAATGAAGTAGTATTGAACTATATGTTTACATTAAATATAGTAAACGAAATAATAACTTATAAGCACGTAATGAAATTTGAAAGTTTAATATGTACGATATAGTTACTAAAAAGTTGATTTTAACTTTGTTCCTCCGTAATGTATAGGTACTATTTCATGACGAGTTCTTTAATACTAAAATATAAACAACGCTTGAGTATACTAGTGACTAATTGGTAATTATTACTATTATTATTATCCTAGAAGTAATTAAGCCCTGAAATTTCATCAAAGTTATGCGTGTTACTATTGTACACTTACTCAATAACTTCTAAGAAAATAGTCGACAGTTCACACATTAATCCTATCATTGTATAATTTAAAAAATATCAGAATTAAATAAGCAATAATCGCAGCAAGTCATGGATTTATTAAATGTACAACTATTTTAAAATCTGATTAATTTTTCAATTAATCTGTTGAATCTTCAAAATGATTGATAAAATGGTTTAGTAAGTGTGAATATTTTTATTCAACGTTGTCGGAATATACATAAATGTATTAAATCTGATTTATCTACATTAAACAGATTCATGAATACAAAATGCGAAATTAGCATGCCATAAGAATTAATATTTATGAATTCCCGGAAAACAAAACACGCGATGAAATTATAATAACTATGAAAAAATAACGCGAAACCTAATTAACCTGAACAAATATACCAAACGTAGTTAATAAACAATTTCAAAAGTTTTTACAACTTATTTTAATTTAAGTAACATGACCACAGTTAATCCAAATCAATAACTTTAAGGAGGTAATACTAATAATAGTATTGTAACTATAGTATAGTTATTTGCAAATGAATAAAGGAAATGTATGTAAATAATACATTTCGATTATTAGAACTGACTTTTTCCTATTTTTAGTTTGTTTAGTCTCTCTAAATAAATGGTAAAATTATCATATGTAGATAAAATAAACGAATTTCATTACTTAAATTAATAATGTATATAATATTATATAGTACCTACTGCCTACCTATATATCCATAGTTACATTTCAAAGTAGTCTATAAAAATAAATTGGAGGAAAGTGTATTATATTATACCCGTTTAGGCGTGCATATACATATTATACTTAAACTCTAAAATACGTACAATCCTCTATTTCATGAAACAATAAAATACGAACAAAAAAAATATTATATTATTCGATGCTTTTAAAGCTCAGATACTTGTATGGGAGAATGTCGACCTTAATCGTTTTTTTATTATATTATGGTTTTTAAGTAATGTAAAAATAAAACCGGTGAAAATATACTCGTGGTTGGTTGTTATATGTGAAAAAAAGTAATCGACAGTAAAATTATTTGTGTATCTTTTGCTCGATGTACAATATTGTACAGCCATAATCATAAAGCTACAGTAGATGGTCATATCATTCTGTGTAATAAAATAACATTTAATGAATGTTCATTACAAAAAATATTAGACGTATTATTTTTCATTGATGTTTTATAACTCTCGTCACACAAACTAATGAACACTTAAAAACCTTTCCGCATTTAGGTGCTGACAAAATAACTGCACATTTTATTTTTATGCGAATAAAAGGTATTCCTAACCCTACAGTAAGTACAGACTACGTATATTCGGTGACGGAAACTTATTAATCAAATAACAATTTATTATTATTTTTCTGTAATAAAATATTCATATAACGTTTTAAAATTAACGACAGTTTAAATATAATAATAATGTGTGTTTGGAAAAGACAATTTTCTATTGCAAAAAAAAACCCCCGATTTATTGATTTGATATAAAACCCTCAATGAATATAATATTTACTGTCCATCAACTTTCATACTATGGGGTATTTCTTAGTGTTTCATAAAGTGGTATGAGAAAACGTGGTAGGTGTTGGCCAAATGGATTAACTGCACATAGTATGCAATTAAATGTAACCAAAAATTAGCGTTTAATTTCAGATCCAAGACAGTTTCGTCGACCGCAAACAATTTAATGGGTTTTTATGAACGTGTCTAATGGGATTACTATTCAAGTAATGAAGGAACGTATGAACTTGAAATTAAGACAAGGAAAAGGTAAATGTATAAGTATTATTATAGGAGGATCTATATGGGAACTCGCCAAATCTAAAGATGTGAACTGATCGTGCATCATGTTTTGTTGAATAACAGTTGGTGCGTGGCCTTTTTTCGTTTTGTTCAATTAATCAGAATACAACAAAGGGCTCCAAATATTAGCATGAATATACATGTACGCATAAGCATTTATTCAATGAAGCAACAACATTTTTAGAGTGATAAAAATAATAATATTGTATTAAAATATTTGTACAACATAAATGTTTGAGACACGCCGGCTTAGACAATTTTTTTCTTATGGGTATGCACCAATAATTCTAAACTGCGTCCTACTTACTAATAAATGCATAATTTTAATATTAAATGTTGGAATTTGAACCAACAGGTGTCCCACACTATTTTCAAATAAAAATCAATGTATTTTATAAATTATGCGATTCATCTATTATCCATTTTTCTGGGTGTTTTATTTTCATCTATATTTTATATAAAATATTCAAAATAAGTATAACTCCTAATATTTCATCATGGTACTCGTTAACCATTACGATTTCATAAAACAGTCCTCTAAAAACTGTATTATATTTTAAAATATATAGTTTATCTATATTATTTTTTAATTGTAACGGTTACCGAGTTCCAAATAAACTGAACGAATACCAATATGTTACTTATATTACTTGTAAAATAATGAATATTTATTTGATTAAAATTAAAATTTTGTGTAATAAAATGCTCATAGAAATTACAAATGTATTTTTTGTTTGTTTTTTTCGATTTGTTTTTATTAACACATTAAAAAATTATTCATTGGTAGAACTTAGTTCAAAAATATGAAATGTGTTATGAATAATAAAATTGAAGAAACAATCTTAAAAACGTACCTATTTATAAATTATGTTCACAGACAAATATACAATAGAAAAATTAAATAAAGTATTACAAACAATAATAACATATACTAGGTGCAGATAAAACATAAAAACTAGTTAAAAATGTAAGATTTTATACAGTTAATTATTTAAATAATAATACATATATTTATTTGTGTAAAAGTATACACTAATTTCTTTATTAAAAAGAAGGTTGTTTTTTATAGGCTAATTCTAAACATTGTATAGAGTATACATCCATATTCAAAAGTGATAATCGCATAAGCATTAACTCTCGAATTAAAATATTAAAATTTAATGTTTTAGGAAGTCGGTTATGGCAATTCAATTGTTAGCTAAAGCCGAAAGCCATACGAATAATAATAAACTATCTTACTACTATTGATTTTATAAGCTGTACGGGGTATTGGACACAGGTACGGCATTATTTAAATACTTGCTAATTTTGATAGTGCTGAATAATGACTACCTACTTCCTATCCCGATTAGAAATATAAATTATATACGATTTACGCTCAACCACTATGTTTAAAGTAAACAAAATTAAAGAACTATATCTACGCCTGCGTTTTTATTTCTCAAACACACGACTCATGTATCATTTATATTAAATAATATATATGATTACCTACATAATAATAATATGTCATCACGCGATCCAGCATTTGAAATTTGAAGCTAAATGCAATGAATTATTATTATTCTCTAATGCATATTATTATACCATTCAACTATCATGAAATTATTTTTAATTTATAAACGGCACATTATAGTAAGAATATGTATAATTATATTGTTTAATATAACACTAGGTAAATGGATTATAGGTTGGTACTAATAAAAACTGAATTCATTTATTTGTTAGTTGTTAATGACTAATATTATAAAAGAATAATAATGTTTTATT